TGTGAACCGAGTTTGTGGTTTCCCAGATTCAGTTTGGAAAACTAGAACTCCCTGAATGAGGAGATGAGGGGTCCCAGAGGCATGCAAATGAGAACCTCAGAGGCTGCTGTCCCCTTTTTATAAATGACCAATGATGGGGATTAAACTTTGAAAAAGATTGAACACTCATTTGGTAGCACAACATCACAACCCAAGTTTTCATCTTATTAGTAATATGTCAGGGAGCTCAGTGTGCCATAAATCAATCATGGGGATAAATGTGATGATTTGTTAATGAAAATACAAACGGAATTAGTTTGGAGGCTGCCGTCTGTAGCAGTGCTGGATATTGTTTAACTGGGCCCCATTACTTAATTTGCAATTCAACTTGCAATTTGTAAGTTTTACGTCGAGAAATCGTTGTCAAAGAGGAACACGCTTAGATTAGGGGGCTCTAATTGCCAGTATTGCATGACAGACCTAAGGGTGATTTTAGGGGAAAAAAAGCAAATCCACTTTTCCCTTGCATTCCCTTAGTGAGAATCTACTCAGAGGCATGCGTTGAGCTTCCCTGGGTTCGCCATGTGATGGTCGTTATTCTTTCAATGCTTTACATTAATCTCCATGTTTTCTATTAGTGATAGCTACTGCTTATGTCTTTCAATGCCACAATCAGGATATTTCTGATACCTTATATTACCCTAATTGCCAAGAAATATGCTCCAAAATGATTAATTCCAGAATGATTAAAACATCCTATGCAATTCATTTATTGTTGCTGCAGTTAATTGAATATTTGATGATTTAAAGGTACCCTGATTATTTCATAAGATATGTATTTATCACCAGCCAGATGATCCGTACGCGGTCTCCCTGTGCTACATGGGGTGGCAGCCTGCACTGTCAGATGCAGAGAGGGTAGGCACTTGTGAGAGCTCTCAGGCAATTCACCACCTGCCCGACGCACGCCTCCCTTCGCTGGCCCTCAGAAGACCACAACCCTGCCCAGCACAAGAGGGTCGTCTGGGGCCAGGAGTGAGTGCACAGCCTCCCCCGTGCGTCGTCATGGGGCTTGCTTTCTGTTGTAAGAGGAGGGGGCGGAGAGGGGGAGTGTGAAAGGACGCTGCAGCTCTGAGTGGCTAACTTGTGCTTTGTGGGCTATCTGAATACCCAAGAGTGGATTTAAAGGGAGGAGAAGGTGGCTCCGGAATGGAGCGGCAGCTTGGCTCCTCCATGGGTAGTAGTTCTAATCCCAGTGCCACCACTAGCTCTCTTCCTCAGTCTCTTTCTGTCCCACCTGTGTGAGTGGCTCCTCCAGAATTCCCTGGAGAGGGGTGTGTGTGTGTTGGGGGGCATGTGCCTGAGAGGAAAGGAGAGTACAAGAGGACAAAATCCAGCCCGGCCTTAGTCAGCTTCCTTCCAGTGTGCAGAGTGACCCCCGGCGCAGCCCTGCAGGGGGCTCAGAGACTCAAGTGGTCTCAGGTGGCCCCAGCACTTCTCAGCCATGTCAAATCCTTGGCTTCTCACTCCCATATGGAGTAAGGACTACAGTGGGGACCTCAGCGACTGGGAGCTTCTGTCGGACATGGCTCTGTCCATGAACCCGGTAGGTACCCTTTCCCTGGCACCTAAATGAGATCACCTGCTTGGTGTTGTCTGTTTCCCCTGTAAGTGTTGTCTCTCCCATTCGCGTGGAGCCCTGAAGGCAGTCGTGGTGTTGTCTTCAGTGTCTTTAAATTCTTCCCCGTGGCACCATCCTGAGCACAGTGTGAGCTCAATCAGGATTTTTCGTCTAAAGAAGCAAATGGGAGAACTGATGAATAGGCAGACCGGGAATGAATAGGATCCTTTTACCCTTGTCAAACTACCTTACAATGTATGTCCCAGTGGGTCCCTAATTGTTTGTTTTCCTGTCCCATCTAGACAGTTAACTCTGCGAGAAAGAGGCCAAGTCTCATAGTTATCTATCTTACCACCCCCCTACCCCCCAGCGCACAGCACTGTTCCAGGAATGTATGAAATAAATGTCTGCTGGTTAACGTTACTACACTGGACTTATGGAGAAACGAGCAGTGGGCTGGGCTAGATGAATTTGCGGAACTAGTCACTTCAAAAAAAGACAAATATCTGAACATTGGATGCGGATGCAGATTGATTTGACTGCTCTTTTCTGTAGTGTTCTTCTCGATCCAGAGTGTTACTGACTGCGATCCTCATTATTGGATTTGCTGCAAATCTCCAGAGCTCGCAACTCTTTCTCTTTCAACAGCATTTCCTCCCTAAAGAAATGGGCATTTGTAATTCCAGGTGTACAGATGATATTTTCAGTTGACAAGAGTGAGTCAGCTCTTAGGTTGCACAGGCGAGAAGCCTGGACTTTTAATAACAAAAGTAAGGAGAGTCAGAGCACAAGGGTAGTAACTGACTCTCGGTATGGGGTTTTGTAAGTTACATGGCACAGTCCTTTCACTTATTTCATTTGATGCTCACAGAAACCCTGTGCTATTTAACAGGGATGAGTATTATCATTATTTTAGTTTTTCTACAATTGGAAACACAGAACTCAGAGGAGTAAAGTCCTCTTTCCAAGGGCTAGAGACCAAACATCCACCTAACTTTTGACTCATAACTAAGTGCTCTTGTTGTATGTACATATTAGTGATAGATTTTCCGCTTTATTTTCAAAATTGACATTGACTCATGGGCACAAAGACAAGAAGGACCTTTGCATGATACTCGTCCATACACATTTAGCTTAGGTAGCCTACAGTGATACAGCACAGCTATGAAGCTGAAGATTTAAGCCTCGGTTCCAATCCTTTTGACCTTCGTGCTTGGGAAAGGTGTTAGTGGGAATTCAAGAATTGTCTTGACAGTTGCTGGAGCATTCAGCAGTGGGATTTTATTTGCTGTCAAGAATTACTCGGTGAGTTCTATAATCCGATAATATGCTAGCACAGCATCTCCCTGTGTATGATCTTTCTCTGAACACATATTCTACAGAGTAGCAATATTCATTAAATGGAAAAAATAAATGAAAGCTAAAAACTCAAAAATTCAAGGATCAGGTAAGTTGGGGATGTGCTGCGTTAAAATAGACAATTGTCTCATTGTGCTTGATTTGTATCATGGATCGTCAAGAGGGGACAAGGATGGCAGCATTTCTCACATTTATTTGTACATAGAACTTTCTGTTTTATAGAACTGGTGTCCATGAGATAGTCTCTGCCTTGGTAGTGCTTGCCAGCTGCAGTGATGTGTCAGCTGTGATTCTTCACATATACCCAGCTTCCCGTAGAGCCTGCAAACTCCATGAGGGGGGAGATTAGGTCTTCTTTTTCTTCCCTTATATTTACCTAGCACCAGCCTGTTGCACAGTCCTAGGCCTTCAGAAATATTTGTTGAGTGAAAGAATGAATAAACTGAGCTAGGCTCAGTCACTTGTGGATTCCTTGTCTGAAACCTAGAATTTAAGGTTCCTTACAATAAGCCAACTTTTTGAGCCTTTTCTTCCACTGTTTCCTCTACCTGATATTCTAGTAGTAGTATTATTAGAAGAATGACTATATAATTTGAGCCAAACTGGGACACTGTGAGGATGAAAGGGGATGTCATCAGTAATTACACTAGGACAACAGGGGTAAAGAGGAACTGCACTGGGCAAGCCGGTACTGCTCGCCCCAAATTATTAGTGACTGTCTCTGCCTGCTTCCTCTCATAGAGATTTCATGCTTCCTGGAGGAGGGACCCTTGCATGTAGGAGATAATTAGTAAACACTCGTTGAAATTAATGTGTGTACTGTAGCAACTTTAATACTAGTTGAAGATTTGCAGTGGTTTTTTGTTTTGTTTTGTTTTTTTTAGATTGAGGCAATCTGGAATCAACCCCTCAAATGTAGTTGAGCTCATATTGCAATCTCAGGGTAACACATTGCCTTTTCAATGGCCTGGGGCATCCAGAAGCTTTAGCAGTGCTCTCTACAGGCTGTCTTAAGTCAGTGAACAAGAGAGACCCACTATTGTCCTTGCCCGAACAGCGCTGGGGACTGGAAGTGACCAGACTGCAGTCCTGGAGAGGGTGAAAATGTGAAGGGGAGAGTTAGTCATGTCTGGGGTATGCTCATAACATGCACAGGTGATGCATTTCTTCAGGTGGTTCTCCTAATCCTGAGTCCTTCAGAATGCCCTGTCTTGTAGCTGGTGTCTCCTTTTGGTACTTGGATTCTCGCTTTCACCCATTATGCAACGCCTGCAGAAAGGGGCTGTGTACTTGACATCGAGTTGGTCCCCAATACTTTTCTACAAGGGGCTTGACTTCAGACTGATTAGGAAGGTGTCACACTGAGAAATATAACTCATGGGATTCTCTTGATGTAGGTCTGAGATTCTAAATGTCAAGACAAACATGTAATTCACACAGTTGTTTAATTTTCATGTTTTACATAAAAAAAACATTTTCAAGGGTCTGCCTATGAATTCTAGGCTGGGCTTGAACATAAGATCCTCCTGCCTCAGCTTCCCAAGTGCTGGAATTATAGGCATGTGCCATCATGACTGGCTTGAATAAAAATAAATGTAGGCATCAGGTTAGACTCTCAGTTTCAAAGAGGACTCAATTCAGTCATAGAAGTGTTTTTTATAGGCTTTGTCTTTAAAATGGTTGTTGTACTAAATCGTTAGCTAGTCAAACAGGCCTTAAGGATCACGAGATCAAGCTCTCCCTTTGGATAGATGAGCAAATACAAAACCAGAAGTCTGGGAGATGGCTCAGTGTTCCACGGCAAATCAGTGACGGAATAAAGAGTCACTTTCTTTCTGCACCTTGAGCTATGATATTCCTGCTTCACTGAACTAAAAGAAAATTGGCCAATTGCAAATACTGCTTACTGTTCAATAGGAGAAAATTTTTGAAAGTACATTTTTTTAAGCTTTGTATAATTTGTTCTATAGAGTCAACTATTGTACAATGGGCTTCCCTGAGAATAACTAGATTGTGCTTAACTTTTTTCTGTTTGTTTTAGGTAAGCCTTCCCAGTGATCCAAGCTGTGTTGAAGAAATCTTGCGGGTGAGTTTAAACTTTTATTTCTGTGCCTTTTAACAATGCAATGATCTATCCGCTTAAGTTGTTTGAAGTAATTGCTGTCCCCCTTCATGGAGCATCATGACAAGGAATCCTTGTATCGAACTTTGTACCCTTCTGCTTATTCCATCTGTCTCATTTCTTACCCGTCCCCTCTCCATTCTCCAGTATCACTAAGTTTCTGTCCATTCCCACATCCTTCTTTGTCTTCTTTTTGACTCCTTCACAGAGAATCACCAGAAAGATTTGCCTCTGGAGATTTGCCTACCCAGGCACCATACCCAGACTTGATCTTTCTACCTTTGGCATCTTAAAAGAACTTTATTGCAGCGACTTATCATGCTGGTTATAGAAATTGTGGCATCCAGTGAGGGGATGAGATATGAGAGATGGGCTGGGAAAGAGACCAGCAACTAACGGCCTGTTGAAAATATTACTTAAGGGAGTGAATTTATGTGTGGGAATGGCGTGGAAAAACAGCAAAGTGGAAAAACGTGGTTCTAACTTTCACTGCAGTAAACAAACCAAGTGAAAAACTAAAGTCACACCAGAAACGTGGACCTACCTACCATCTCCGGATATTAACGTAATAAGACAAAGTGATATCTCAGACAGACAAGTCATAGGAGTGAGTTCCTGCCCCAACTTTGCCACTTGTCACTTCTGAGACTTTGGACAATGATTTTATCTTTCTGAATTCCCCTTCTTTGTATGTACAAGAGGATAATAACACTTGCCCTAATTTTCTTATATGCTACCAAGTGGCTGATAAATGCTCATTATTTTGATAAATGATGACCAGTATAGCCATGTGAAAAATGAGGAAGGCTTTCTGTCTAGAAAAGGGGAGGAGAGAGGAGATGGGAAAGTAAAAAAGATTTAAGATATGTCATGCACATGTATCACAAAATCATAACATATGTAAACAGTATATGTCATAAACATGAACTACAAATAATCACAATAATAATGAAGATAGGGCAAGGGGATATAGAGACTGAGGGAGGGAGATGGGTGCAGAAGGGAAGGGGAATAAAAAAGAATCAAGCTCTCTTATGTACACGTGTCTATGCACTAATCCTAATGTAAACTTCATGTACTGCAAACATGTACTAATAAAATCAAATTTTAAACAAGCTTTAAGGATCACAATCTATGCCACTGAAAATTCAGCAACCTCTTTCCTCACTTAGCAGTCACTCTAACTCCCTCCACAGACCTCTTCCCCATGTGAAGGCCTTCTTGGCATCCAAGTCTTGGGTGCATGTCCTGTGAAATGTAGCCAAAGGAGTAGGGAAGAGCAGAAAGCCATCGCCGTCAGGTGAGCCTGACACCTGACTTCACTTCCTGTGGATGTCCCTGTACTTGATTCAGCTCAAGGACATCACTAGTGACTATGAAAGAAATAATGTAACTCTGATGAGAGATTAGCCTACGGATTAAGGATATTCTGGCCCTTTTGTAAGATAAGACAGGACCCCAGCAGTATCTCAGTCCCTGGGGCTATGGGTTCCCATGGAGGCAGGCAGCCGTTTTGAAGTCCATCAGCATGATGCATCCTGGGAACTCAGCTACCTTCTCCTTCCCATTAGACACAGAACATCCACTCACTCCTGGTTTGCTTGTCAGTCACCTTCCTTAAAGGAAAGCACCACTGAAAGGATTGTCTTACTCTAGTCTCAACAGTAAACTTCTTTTTCCTCCCTTTCTGCCCTGGTTGCCGCATGAAATCAGTCAGGTCTTCAGCTTAATTCTCAAAGGAATATTGGACCCATGTGAAATCACTGCCTAACTTGTCACACTTGGAATTCTCTCCTGAAGAGCAGCCCAGTCCCAGTGCCTAGGTGGTTTGCACAGAGGCTAAGTGAGGGGAGTAGGGTAAGTACCTGTCAGAAATTGGCAATTCCAGTCCCCAAAGGAATAACAGAATTTCACTCAAACATGGAAAGAAAAGCAAGTTGCATTAATAAACTCATAAAAGATAGCACCCTTTGAGAAAGTAAAAAAGTCCTGTTGTTCTTGAAACTCCAGGGAAACGTACGTGGCTGCTTTTATTTATTTTTTGAAGGGCTGTAGATTGTATAGAATTCTTTCATTTTCCCAACAACACTGTTAATAAATGGGCTTTCCTCTGTTGAAGAATGGAATGTTTCACTCCCCACACTTACAATAAAACTTAGCTTTCTGAAGTCTAGGCCCCAAATTTTATAACTAATTTTTAAAATTTTATGGACCATATTGTGTGTCATAACAGAGTGAGCTTATGGAACTTTTTAAAGTCACACATTCACATTCTGGTTGGTTTGAGGGCTTAGGAAACCTGTGGACCATTCCACAGTAAGTAGGATCATTGCCCCATTCCTCAACTGCCTCCTTCATATAGAAGTGCCTTTTCTCCTTCTTTCTACGTACACTTGACCCACCCCCCCCCAGTACTTTTCAAACTATATGGAGTCAAGAGAAAGGTCACCTTTTCTCGCTAAAACCAAGCTATATGGAGGAGGGGCACCAGCCCATGTGCAGAGGAGGAGGGGCAGGAACAGGAAGAGGAGGAGGAAGGGAAGGAGGGGGAGAGAGAGGAGAAGGAGGAGGAGCAGCAGCAGTGGGAGGAGCAGGAGGAAGAGAAGGGGGAGGACGAGCAGGAGCAGGAGGAGGAGGAGCAAGAGCAGAAGGAGGAGGAGGAGGAGAAGAAGGAGGAGGAGGAGGAGAAGAAGGAGGAGGAGGAGCAGGAAGAAGGGTTGTTGCTAGTTGCTCTTGATGTTCCCTCACTTCCTAGTCTCCTTCTGTACATCTCAAGAGCACGGTTAATTACTCCCTGCTCTATCTCACTGCCCACCTCCAGTGAAGAAGCCTTTAAACTGCACACATTATTTGCATTTGTCCATGCAAACCTTAGTCTGTTTGCTCTCCCAACTTTCCCAGCTCCCTGCTCCCCCTTCCCCCACCTTTGCAGCCTGCCAAAGGAACACATGCGAACCCACTTCATCCCATGCTGCGACAGACTTCTTTTATTAATCAAGCACAACATAACTGGCCTCCCTCCACTCCCTGTCCCTCAGTCCCCCAGGCAGTGGAAATACTTTACCTCATGCATTTTTTCCTCACCCCCTTTCTCAAAATGTGGTTCAAATTCAAACCGGTCAGCTTTCTTGGAAAGCCCCTCTCACCATTTCTCAGACCAGTGCTTGTACTTCTCTTTCTTTGCCCTCCTGGTTTTATAATAAGCTGGAGCCCACCTTGTCTGATTTCCCAGTACCTTTCTTCTGCTCCCCATACCCTTACATGTACAATCCTATGACAATAAGTGAACTCAGTCTTATAGGACAACCTGAGATTTTATGGCAAGTGACTGCTATTCAAAACACTTCAACCTCAGTATATTATTTTGATTATAGGAAACAAGGTAGTCCCTTTTTAGTTCAGGAAATTAAGATCCAGATAGACAAAATTACCTGCAACCAAAACTAGGGCCAGCATGTGGCAGAAGTAGAATAGAACATTGCCTTTGTTTTCTAAATCTAGTAAACTTGGCATTATATGCAACTATCAGCCACCCTACTACAAGCCCGACATTGAGAATGTCTTGATTTAGAGAAAAAATTGCTTCAGACAAGGGCCAACATTTCTAACAACTTTAAAGCCCTAGCATCACCAGGAGTAGTGGTGTGTGCCTGTCATCTCAGGCTGAGGCAGGAGGATCATTGTGAGTTTGAGGCCAGCCTGGGCTACAAATTGAGTTCAAGGCCAGCCTGAACTGCGTAGTGAAGCCCTGTCTCAAAAAGACAAAAACAAAAACAAAAACAAGACAAAAAATCACTAGCAGACAACAGTAACTAGAGCTGGTCTTGGCAATTATTTTTTCCTTTTTGCCATTCTTTAATATTTCCAAATTTCATGTCAAATAGTAATAAAGGCAGCAGTAGTAAATTTACTAGTACTAATAAAAAATAATGGTAATATGGCATCTACTGTCTTCCAGGCCCAGTCCCTAAGCACATATGCCTTTGAATCTTTGCAACAGCCATCAAAGATTGTACTGTTGGTCATACACTGCAGACTGGGAAGGAGTGAAACCCAGAGAGGTGAAGCAGTTTGCCCTAGGTCACGGATTTCCAGGTGTCCGAGAGCTACTGTGCTATCCACTCCTTTTGGTGCTCTGGGCTATCCTGAATCCATCCTTATTTAATGGGCTCCAGCCCACTCTGTGATTATTATTGCACTGGCATGAACCAATAGTTCATTTCTGCTGCTGTTGTTTCCCCAACATGTACAAATTCAGTTATGCCAAAATAATGTCAAGTGGTTTTTCCAACACACCAGAGTTCACTCACATACCGCACCTTTCCACCAAACTGACCTCCCACAAAACAAGCTACATAATTCACATGTCTTTGCTGCTTGTCAAGCATATTATAGCTTATTATAAATTTTATGAATCAGAAATGTAAAAGGCAGCAATCTGTGAGGTGCAGCCCAGCTCGTGTAGTTGCTTCTGTCAACACGCCATTTACTCTTTAGAGTCACGTTACTCTCAAGTGAAAACAGAAATGAAAAATGATAATAGCTCTCACCCCAGTGATGGCATTTTGCAGCTACAATTCATCTATCATATGAGTGACTCCTAGGTTGCCCATATGTAATAATATGGGCACCACCAGCAACTTCTCTGCTGAGTTCCACCGGGCCCTGTGGGTCCTAGAGTCGTCATTTCTGGGAGAGTTAAGCCAAGGAGTGCGGCATGCCATTAGCTAAGGATAGGTGTTTGGAGATGATTTGTTCTGCCCTAGTATGATTTATTTGTTCCTAGCAATAATTCACTTAAAATGTCGACAAACTATCAATTAAAATCTTTCTAGAGTCAAACATGCAGATAGTATGCTTCTCTTAGATTTGATGCTGAACAGATTGTGTTTCCTAGCAAAGTACCTTTTTTAGTTGATAATTTCATAGGCAAACATCTGTAAGGGTAATTCAGTGTTTATGAG